ATATATATATATATATATATATATAAAATAAGTGACACACATATGAGTGTAGATAGATATAACATATTTTTTAAGTTTCTAAAATTTAGGCTCTCATATATTGAAGAAGGGGAAATGCGTGATTAGGAAGACTGGCTGGAATACATAGAGTTTCTTTTTTTTTCTGGACATGTTAAAGTTTTTATTTTACTCACAATCAACAAAAAACCAGCTAGATATTATAACCAGTTAAAAAGAGCATTTTTCGAAGAACAACCTTACAGAACAGGAATGTTGAAAGTTGAGGCAAAACTGAGAACAAATTGAAGATATACTGCAGAGGACCAAACTTCCATTGCGTTCACTATTCTACAACCTACCTAGTTGTAAAATAACTTCCCTACAATGGAAATCAGATAAACTGAAAGGATGTGCCCTATGCATCAATAATGTGTAGTTTCCTATTAATGCACAACATTTTCCTACACATGCAAAGCCTTATTTTCTGTTTTGTAACTATAAGATAAAGCTAACCTTTGTTCAAGTATAATAAAATACACAAAAGTAATATAATTAGAATGACTCTAAGTTAAAATGTTATCGAGTTACAGAGGGGGTGAAGCATTCGAAGATGTGGAGTTCATTACAAAGCTCTTCCATAACCAAATCACTTACAGCTTTATTACTGGCGCCTGATCTGCATAGGTGCTGAAGCCAAAAACTTCCTGATCAGGTCTTCTTCCTCATGCTATACATCTAACCTATTACCCACCCACTCCTTACGCTTTACTTCCACTGGTCTTAAATCCCACCAGTTCACTCCATTTTTACTGCTCCTTTCCTAGACCAAGCTTGAATCATTTGCAGAGTTCTTTTTGGGCTTTAGCCTGTCCCTGCTAACTCAATGCTCAACTTTCATGTCATTCAAATTAAATCACGACTGCCTGCACAGTTCGGGACACGGCATAGACCCTATGGTTCACATCAAGTAGATCAAGTGTCTACTTGAATATAAACCTAACATCATCCTCAGAAAAGCCAGGTGGGGCTCCTGTCTGAAATTGTGGTGATGCGCTTCCAGGTGCTATGCAGGGCATTGACTCCAATGTATGAATTTCCAGGTGTTGAGGTTATCTTACTTAGACACCACCTCTCTCCCTAATCTCTAGCCACCTGATGTATTTTTTAATGTCTCTTGATTTTGATCCTAGAAAATAAAATGGGAAATACCCTAGTATCCCTTTTGCCAGGACACTGACAGAACATATATTCAGATTTGCTTCCATAGTTTTTGCTTTATAGTTCCATCAAAATTGTTGATAACAGATATTTTGTTATTATATGCCCAATATAGAATTCACCAAAAATTATCAATTTTAAAAATGGAGACAAAAAAAGCAGAAGCTATCCAGGTCCATTTATATGCTGTCACAAGGGTAAGATTTCCCTTCTTTTTATGGCTACGTAGTATTCCATTGTGTAAATATACCACTGCCTTTTTTAAAAACTATTTTTTATTGATTTCAGAGAGATAGGGAGAGGGAGAGTGCCGGAGTCCATTCATTATCTTCACTAGCTGAGTTTAGACAGAGACCCCCCCAAAAGCTAGTAGCCATTGAAAGTCCTAGCAAAGGTCAGGGCTGTGCACCAGCCAGTTAATCTAGGAACCACTCAGTTAATTTAGGTAATAATAGTTGAAGCATCCCCACCTTAGTTCCCTTAATTCCTTAGATAGTTATGTAGATCCTTGTTGATTATTGTTAATCAGTTACTCTGCCTATACTCGGAAATCTATTGATGAGTTAATCAGATACTTTTGTCTACTCCTGGAAATTGCTGATCTGTGTGTCATTGAAACTTCCTTACCCTAAGGGCTACTCCAGATCAATAAAAGATTGGAGCAGCCTGAGCATGGGTGGAAGTCCTTCGGGACTTGCCCGCCTGGTCCCCCAATATTGCAAAATTATCTCGTGTCTTTTTCTCTCATTTGTTGTGCGGCTCCACTTTCAGATACCGAACCCTACTCCACGCAGAACGTGGAGGGAGTGTTACTCGACAGGAGAGAGAGATAGAAACATCAGTGATGAGAGAGAATCATTAATTGGCTGCCTCCTACACACCCCACATGGGGGATCGAGCCTGCAACCTAGGCACATGCCCTGACGGAATTGAACCATGACCTCCTGAGCCACGCTGGCTGGGCTACCACTGCTTTTTGTCCACTTATCTACTGATGGGACACTTGGAATCCTTCCAAATTTTGCTCATAGTAAATAATGCTGCAATTATGCAAAGTGAAATAAGCCAGTCAGAGAAAGACAAGTACCATATGATTTCACTCAAATGCAGACAGAATCCAAATAACAGAATGAACTAACAAGCAAAATAGAGACAGATTCATACATAGAGAGCAGGCTGGCAGCTGAGGGTGGGCTGGGGGAGGAGGGTGGGATTGAGCAAAATATAAAACAAAGAGGAAACAAACTTATGAACTTGGACAACAGTGTGGTGATGGCCGAGGATGAAGAGAGTGGAGGAGGGTATGGGGTGATGGACAGAGACTTGGCTTGGGGTGGTAAACACACAATACAGTGTACAGATAATGTGTTGTAGAATTGTGCACCTGAAACCTGTATAATTTTGTTAACCAGCGTCACCTGATAAATTCAATAAAAGGAAAAAAACAACAACATAAAAAAACAGGTTAGACTGTGGTGATGGTTGTACAACACTGAATTTACTACAAATCATGAATTATATACTTAAAATGGGTGAATTTTATGGTTCTGTATGTTATATCTCAATACAGTCTTTTAAAAACTGATTTTTAAAAAGCAAAAGCAATTGTATATCCAACATAAACAGTACTAACTTTTAAATATGCAAATAAACATAAAAATAACACATGCTATTCTGTTGTTTTGAAAGAGAATAAAAATATTTCAACGGCAGTCTTTTCAAGAGCGATTTGTGAAATGAATTTGTTTTGTGTCTGGACTTTACAGGAAGTTCCCTTGCTTGAACTTGGCTTGGAGGTTTGACGGAGTAAATTGTTCCTTGACTTTTGAATTATTCATCTTGGCTGCATGATACGCAAATCACACTGCTCTCACTATGTCTAGAGGCACAGCACTGGGTCAGAAGCTGCATCAAGTTGCTGGCAAAGAATTTCTGTCAAGGGATTAGGACTTTCCAACAGAACGGTAAGTTGTAATGTAACTCATGTTGCCCAGGTATTTAAAGTAAATAAATGCCGTTTGTTAGGGGTTTCTTTAAAAAGTGGCTGTGTGCAATTAAAGTTTAAAGCAATGTTTAAATGAACTGTCTGAACTGTTGCTCATATGTACATGTAGGGCAGCAAAAGAAACTGAAAGGAAGTCATATATTTTTCCTTTACATTTATTTTTTTTAACAAATGTAAGGCCTTGTTTAAATGGCCAAATAATAAATTTATTTTCTTCTAAGAGGTTTATTGTATTTGCTTATGTTTTGGTAACTATATTTCATAAAAAAGGAATGAGAATTACTTAAGTAAATTTAACTATTTGAAAAAAATGTAAAGTTTCTAAATCATATGAAACAAATATCATATATATTATATATAGAGAATAATGTGCTAGATGAAATACTAAAATTTACCAATTGTGTTTGTAAAAATTGCATTATTCAAGAATATAACTCACTAGGGAAAAAGGGAAAATTTCAGAAATCATTGCTATTATATCTTCCAAAATGTTTTATAATTGGTGAGTTATTTTTAAGAAATTTTTTAAAAACCACAATTTGACATCATATTTTAACATTTTAATCCTTTGACTTCTGGTGTAATTTCTGCAATATATAATATACATCAAGTCATCAACATTAAATGATTATATCTTTTCAGTGTAAATATGTTCTTTATTCAAATGGATTATTAATGAAAAAATCAATTTCATAAAAATATACACATATTACTGTGTAAAGTTGGCTTAATAAAACAGTTAAGAATTAATATTTCATAAATGTTCTATATTATGATAAGTATAAGGAAAACAATGTAAAAGTTATTAAATTATCAAATATGTTTTTAATTTAAGTTTCAAAAGCATACACCTTTAAAAGGCTGAATATAATCAAAGTGAAAGAAAGATATTCTCAAGTTAAAATTAAGAACTGCTTATGTAAGTGAAATTAACATTCCTTGTAGTTTAATAATTCTAACAGGTATAGGTATAATTTTGAATAAATAATTAAAGATTTTACTTTAATTGCCAATATCTAAAAACCTGCTAAAATAATTTGTCCAAATCATTTATAACCATTTTTATTTTCTAAAAATTAAAAATCAACCACTAGAAAATGGGAGAGAATATTTATTTTTCTTAGGGAAATTTCCCTTCAATTGGGAATTTTCTTAAAAGGAGCAGCTTATTTCATCAATGTGTAGAATTGTGATGGCCACACTAAGAACACACTTAACTACAAGCATCATCAAACTTGGAATCTATTACCCTGGAAATTGAGGATCCTGGCAAGGTTAAATTGGTTTGCAAATATTAGACAGACTTACATTTATAAAACCACAATTTATTGGTATTATGAATTTAGGAATAATATTTTTAAATAAAATAAATCTATCAAAAACAGATTGAAAAACATATTTCTATAAAAATAAATTCAAATAAGTATTAAACAGTAGGATGATATCCAAAAATTAGGAGTCATTGGTTTACAGAAATTTTGATTTCTTCTTTTTGCCTCTCTGCATTTTCTGAGTGTTACATAATAAAATGTTTTTATTGTGTGTTTTTTAAAAGAATGAAGGAACCACTCTGAGAAAAAGGTCAAAGTTGACTAGCCATTCATTTTTTTTATTTCGGTCCTGATATTTTCTATCCCTGCTTTCTCCTTAATTTCCAATCCCAGTGGACAACTCAAAAACAGAAGAATCCATGGCTTCAACTTGGCTGAGTGTTAGCTATTGGTAATCTGCCTTCTAGGTATAGCTGTATTTTTCTTTCATAGCAGTCAAACTTTTCTGCTGCATGTAAGCTACTGACATAAGTCAGTTCAGTACATTTAAGAACTGACTAGGCAGAAAAACAAGACTTATAACTAGAAAAAGAAGAAACTGAAAAATGAGACAAATAATTTTTTGTCTTAAAAACTTTCTATTGTCTTAATATTCATTTGAGTGTGTACACCAGTTTTTTAAGTATTCCCAAAATAACTAAGTTGCCCAGAACTTAGCTTTGAAGAGCTACATTTAAAGCTTGGGCAAGCAAGGATTAGACCACAGAAAAGTCTATAAACAGAGAGAGGACAACAGGAGATTGCCAATCATAGAAGACTAGGAAGAGAGCATCTAGAAGTTATGGAATTGAAACTAGCTAGGAGTAGAGTTAGAAGTAATAGTGAAAACTTACCAACAGTCTAAAAAATAAAGGCTATTGTTTAAAAAATACCTTTATAAAAAATGTAACCTTTTCCTTGTATTCCTAAGAATTTTTAATATTATTAAATACAAGCCGATATGGGGAAAATACAAAGTCTAGATAAATCAAAAGGAGAATGCACACTATAAAAATTATCTGGAATTTTATCACTACTGATAAAACTATTAACACTTTGGTACATGCCCTTGACTTTCTAATGTTTCTTAATTTCAGATGTGAACTCCTAAGTCTTTAATTATCCCTCATTTTTAAAAGTGGTCCTAGAAAATATATATTAAATTTTTCTTTCTTCCAATGTGTATCTAAATCACACCTACCACTATTACAATTGCCATTTTTGAATATTAGTCATATTATTTGCAGTGTCAGCTTTTATAGTAAAACTAGTGGCCTGTTGCACGAAGATTCACACAATAGGCCTTCCTTCCCCTGGCTGCCAGCACTGGTTTTCCTCCAGCACCCGGGACCCAGGCCTTTGGTCTGGCCGCAGCAGCGAGGCTTGGCTTCTCCACTCCGGCTGCTCCCAGCCCCTCCTTTTTTTTTCCCCAGCTCCTCGAGCAGAGGCCAGGGCTGGCTGGAAGCCTGGATCACCCCCAGCGACCCAGGCCGCCACTCCTTGAGCAGAGCCCAGGCCCCCAGTTGTTGGGTTAATTTGCAGTCACTCTGATTGGCTGGTGGGTGTAATGGAGTGGCGGAGTGATGGAGTGATGGCTAATTTGCATGTTTCTCTTTTATTAGTGTAGATAGAGCAATGGGCTTAATTTGGTGAACTTACTATAGATTTGATCGTGGAGAAAATATTTACAAATATATTTTCTAAATAGTCAAGTGTTTATATTATCTCTCCACTCTGCAAGAATTTATAGGTCATCTACTATCTGGTAGTCACTGTGCCAGGTCTAGAAGATCCACTATGAGTAAGATAAAGTTGAGGGAAGTGCTAAAAAGAAGCTCAGTATAAAATGAGAGCATAAAATGTGAGGATCTAATTTAGACTGCTGGGTCAGAGAGGCTATCTTGGGAATCCCACTGATATCTGAGAGAAGTGTAGATAGAAGACAGAATACGTTATGGGGCAAGAACCACAGTAGGGAAGGTCAGTGAAAAGAAATTCAATGCACTGAATGTGAGTAGTCTTCTCTGTGCACTCAGGAAGGAAGATGAGCAAGGAGGTGAGTCATGCTAGGTGAGGCTGAAGTGGAGTACAGGAGGCAGTTCATGCTGTGAGGTCCCCAAGAAAGCTTTTGGAGTTTATTCCTTTAGTGGAAAGTCATTTAAACATTTTGGTTGAGGAGAGTAGTTGTAGTTTTTAAATATCGTTTAGCTGTCATGTTGAAGGCAGATTGAAAGGGGGACAGAGTTGTGAGGAGACTATAGGAGGATATGGTACAATCCAAGATAGAGATGATGATGGCCAGGACTAGGCTGGTGATGAAGGTGTGAAGCAATAGAAATGCATTTGAGAAATATCCATACATTATAGACTATGAGACCTGGAAGTCTATTTGTAATTGGAGGCAAGCTATAGGTGACTTCAAGGATGTTTTTATATTTTTAAGGTAAAATGGCCTGGGGAAATGGTGAGGTCATTGATGGAGTTAGGTAGGGGTATAACATATCAGGAAGGAAGTTGAAGAGTTTAGTACAGGATTTCTGGAGGCAGAAGTGCCTGTAAGCAATGTATCAGTGGCAGTAAGTATAAATAACTAACACTTATAAGACAGGTCCAGGCTTTGATATACATTTGAGAGTTGATATATGGATGATCATTAAAGCTAGAAAGTGGATGAGATCATTCATGCAGTGTCTAGATAAAGAAGTTCAGTACTGAGCCTTGAGGAACTCAACATTAAACTCTTAGGTCAAGAAGGCTTAAAAAGAGCCTGCAAAGAACAAGGCAAAAAGAAGGAAAATTAGGAAATTGTCATTTTATAGACGGTAAAGGAAGAGAGTGTTTACAGAAGTCATGGTATAAAAAATAGCTGAGAAGTCAGGAAAGAAGACTAGTAGTGAATAAATGACCATTGGGTTGAGCAAAGTGAAAGCTGTTTTGGTTGTGTGGTGGGTCAGAAGCCAATTGGAGTAAAGGGAATAGGGTGTCAGGATATCAAAGCAGTTAGTGAAGACAGCTCTTTGTTGTAATTCAAGCTAATGAGAGAAACCTTTGAAACCAAGGAGAATTGTTAATGTCTGCTCTTTATTTTTAAGACAAGAGAGAGTGTTTATATGCCAATGGAAAAGAAGTAGCTGAGCAGGAGAAGAAGGCTGAAGAGACAGGAAAGAGAGAGTTTTGATAACAGTTAACATTCCTGAGATTTGGGAATGAGTTGGATCTGGAGTAAGCCCAGAGGAATAGACATTCTCTGTTGTCACTGGAAGGAAGGAGAAGACAGGTACAGAGGCCAGAACCAGAGAGTGGACATCCATGAATGGACTCTCCCTCAGGGAACTCGAAGACAAAAACATCTGCTAATGAGAAGTAGGGGGAGTAGGTAGAAGTGGTTTGAATAATTGGGAAAGATAGGAAATTGAGAAATGTACTATATTCCTGGAGATGTGAGAAAGCAGGAGAGCAGTAGAATCAGATGTGCTCAAAGATGGAGATAAGCCAACCTGCTTAGTTCTTCAGCAGCGTTCATGTGCCTGCTGCCCAAAGAAGTTCCTATCCAGCTGTGTCTAGAGTTGGACTCAGTGGCAGGTTGCCCTGGAAAGACTTGAGGAGAGGCTCAGAGGAACTTACAATGTTTTAAAGAGTGATTAAAATAACACCAAAATATTGAATTTGTCATATCTACAATTCCATGAATTGTTTTCATAAATAAAACACTCACAAAACACCAGCAATTTTTTACTGAAGTAGACCACTTAAATTTGACAAAAGATATGAATTTTCCAGATGCTTTCATGATAGCGAATTCTGCTCAATGTTTTCATGTTTCCCAGAAGACAAAAAAAACGGTTCAGGTCATTTGACCTTATTTTGCTCTATTTACCAAAATACTTATATTGAAAGAATCATTTGGTTGCAACAACTAGCACACAGAGTTCTATATGACAGAGATTTTTGGAAAATTTTATTTTCAACCTTGGTTTTTTCCTCACTAGAAATAAGTAGGATTCAATATTTAATAATGGCAATTCAGTACATTTTTAAGAAGCTCGAGTTCATTAAGTACCCTACTCAACCAGAAACAATCTGTTCTCATTACAAGAGAAAACATGGTAGGTGAGCGAGATATATGTGGGTTGAATGAATCAGGTTGCTTATTTTCATGACCCCCTGTTTCAAAGATGCTATGATGGAGGTATTTTATTAGATGAAAGAACTGGATTTTCATTTCATGAATTTAATAAAAATAAGCATAATACTTTAACAATATAGAAACAAAGTAAGAGCTATGGAAATGTCAAGACTGGAGTTATAACAATCATTGTTTCCTCTTCTAGGTTATAATTCAATCTAATTTAACTCAGCATAACTTATCAGACAACTACAGTGTGCTGGGGAACATGGTAGGTCCTGGAAACGTCCGTCTTCACTCACTTCACTGCATTTTTCATTGGTCTCTTTACAGTTTTTCAAATCCTCTATGTGTGTTTCTACCTCACGGCCTTTGCACATGCCTTTCCTAATGCCTGGAATACTCTTTATCATATACAGGGTGGGGCAAAAGTAGGTTTACAGTGTGAGTATGTGAAACACAGAGTTTATTCTTGTATTATTATTTATTAATTACTAGAGGCCAGATGCACTAATTCGTGCACCAGTGGGGGCCTGGCCTGCAGGATTGGGCTGAAATAAGCTGAAGCTGAGGGGTCCCAGATTGGGAGAGGGCTCAGACCAGGCCAAGGGACCCTACCAGTGCACAGTCGGGGCTAGGGAGGGACACAGGAGGTTGGTCAGCCGGGGAGGGACTATGGGAGGACTCCAGGGAGTTTCCTGCCCATCTCACTCAGTCCTGATCTGCCGGACCCAAGCAGCAAGCTAACCTACCGGTCAGAGCGTCTGCCCCGCCCCCAGTGGTCAGTGAACATCATAGCAAGTGGTTGAGTGGCCTTAGCATATTATTAGCATATCATGCTTTGATTGGTTGAACGGATGACCAGACACTTAGCATATTAGGCTTTTATTATATAGGATTGTATTATTTTCCATAGGAACAATTATAAACCCCCACCTTTTATTATATGAACTTTTTTTTCAATTTCTGATTCTTCTCAAGATATTATAAATTGTTTGAAATTAGAAACTTTCATTCATTGTTGTTATTCTCACTGGCTAGCACACAGTTCAAAGGTATTAATAAATATTTTTTGAAACATTAGTCACACATACATGCATATACATGTGTACTCCTTACTAATGTAGACCACTGTCCATATAGTCAACTTTTTTGAGCGTTCTTTTAGAATTATTATGTTAAGTGCCATTATGTCCTTAGCCATCCTTTCGTGTTTCATCCTTATATTTTCTCTCTCTCCTTTAGGCATGGAATGCATCTTGTGAAAACTGGCTGGCAGCAGAGGCTGCCCTAGGAAAGTACTACCTTTCCGTTTTTTATGGGATTGAGTTCGTTGTGGGAGTCCTTGGGAATAGCCTTGTGGTTTTCGGCTACCTCTTCTGTCTGAAGAACTGGAATAGCAGTAACATCTATCTCTTTAACCTCTCTATCTCTGACTTCGCTTTTCTGTGCACACTGCCCCTGCTGATCAAAAGTTATGCCATTGAAAACTGGACATATGGAGATGTGCTCTGCACCAGCAACCGATACATGCTTCATGCCAACCTCTACACCAGCATTCTCTTCCTCACTTTCGTCAGCATTGATCGCTACCTGCTCATGAATTACCCTTTCCGAGAACACCTTCTGCAAAAGAAAGAGTTTGCTGTTTTAATCTCTTTGGCCATTTGGGTTCTGGTGACCTTAGAGCTTGTGCCCATGGTTCTCTTTATAAGTCCCATTACAGGTGGCAATAAAACCAGATGTAGGGATTATGCCAGTTCTGGGGACGCCAAGTCCAGCTTCATTTACAGCATGTGCCTTACCTTCTTGGGGTTCCTCATTCCTCTTTTTGTGATGTGCTTCTTTTATTTCAAGATTGCTGTCTTCCTAAAGCAGAGAGCCAGGGCACAGGCTACCACGCTGCCCTTTGAAAAGCCCCTCAACTTAGTCATATTGGCCGTGGTGATTTTCTCTGTGCTTTTCACTCCCTACCACGTCATGCGGAACCTGAGGATCATTTCACGGCTGTGGGACGAGAATGAGGCCAAATGTCCCAGGGCCATCATCCACTCCTTATACATTGTGACCAGGCCCTTGGCCTTCCTGAACAGTGTCATCAACCCCGTCTTCTATTTCCTTGTGGGGGATCACTTCAGGGAGATGCTGACGAATAAGCTGAGGCACCACTTTCAATCCCTTATGTGCTTTAGGAGATGTGCTAATGGACTCGTGTTTTCATTCAGAAAAGAGTGAGGTGCCTGTGGAACAGAACGTCTTATACACGCAGTTGTAGGCCAGTTAGAGTTTGATGGACTCGGACATAAATCAGAGCGGGTCACAGATCCGCCCCTGATTTAAAGACGTGGTGTACTCAGAGTACATAAAAAAGAAGAGGATGAGAAGAATTTATTTGTCCACTTACAAATTGAAAGAAGTCGGACAAGCAGGAATATCTGGGCATATACATTCAAAATCCTAGATGTTATAATACCTCAATCAGTGTAAGAAGAATAGAAGCTAGATAGCGTAGCAAGTTTGCATTTGATCATCGGTTGGACTGTAAAATAAAATTGTTTTGGCAAAATTCTCCTGTGTTTTTCTTATTCATACTCTCCTATAACTTTATGTGAGAATTGAATAGCAGATTTTACATACATTATTAAGTATTATTGTTAGAAGTTGTACTCTTAAGCAAATTTAAAGTAAAGAGTAACAAGAATGAGCAGCAAAGCAATAAAACAAGTTCAAGGATGCTTATATATCCCTTTATATTGATCATGAATTGGGTCAACTCTCCTTTTTGTTGTATGGTTTATAGTGTAAATAATCATATTGAATAGAGATATTCAACAATGGGAAAGGAATCTTTGAACTTGGTTGTTAGGGAATTTAGATGTAAATGATTTTAACAAAATACTAGAAAGAGATACCAAAGACAATTGCAAAAACCTCAGAGTTATAGAACTCAAAGTGCCTCTCAGGGAACCCAAAGCAAGAAAAACATCACAAAAGTGAGTAGACTGTGGGAGATCATTGTGCCATCTGGCATTTAATTATCATACTTTGATCATCATTCCATGGAACTATATTAAAGTTTATTAGTCTTGCTGCTCTTGATTAAATAGGAAACCTTAAAGCAGTGGTTCTCAACCTTCTGGCCCTTTAAATACAGTTCCTCATGTTGTGATCCAACCATAATATTATTTTTATTGCTACTTCATAACTGTAATGTTGCTACTGTTGTGAATCGTACTGTAAATATCTGATATGCAGGATGGTGTTAGGCTACCCCTATGAAAAGGTCGTTCGACTGCCAAAGGGGTCGCGACCCACAGGTTGAGAATCTCTGCCTTAAAGTATATGAATATGATAAAACCAACAAATAAGAGGAACTGAAGTGTTAATACTAGAATTTGTTGGCTTAATTTTCCATTATGAAGGAAAAATCATAGTTTTTCTCCTCCCCACCCCTAACCCCCCCCCCCCAGATACATTATTTCATAAGCACTGGGATAATTTACAAGGAAAATTTGATCTTAGAGAGAGTGACTCACATCTTGATTGAACCTTGTTTGCATAGGACATTACTTAAGACCTTTGGAGGAAATGTTCTAAACAAAATACATTTCATGAAATTATAGAGTAATAGGAATATTTTTTTTAATATATTTTTATTGATATTTTACAGAGAGGAAGGGAGAGGGATAGAGAGTTAGAAACATCGATGAGAGAGAAACATCGACCAGCTGCCTCCTGCACACCTCCTACTGGGGATGTGCCTGCAACCAAGGTATATGCCCTTGACCGGTATCGAACCTGGGACCCTTGAGTCCGCAGGCCGACGCTCTATCCACCGAGCCAAACCGGTTTTGGCTAGGAATATTTATGTATGTATCAATATAGATGATCTCAGGATGGTAAGACACCATTCCATGCCACAAAACAAATTCAGGGGGAAAACGGTGCTTTTTAAAGTTAAACAAGTATCATGTAATAATTCACTTATTATATGCAACAAGATGTGTCTATGGCCACAAGTCTCCATTCCTTTCCTTGACGACAGTAGTTATAAAGTGTGAATAACACGGAGGATAAAATAAACATGAGTGCAGAGACATAAAATTCAATTTTCCTTCCTGTTCCAAGGTACTCTGGCCGTATTGCACTCTGATATTCAAAAGGGACAAAATAATCCCAGTTAATTTCTTTACTTCAAGCAACTGAAATATTATAAAAGCACAGTACTCCAAAGGATTTATTTTCTAACCTGGTATTAGACTTTAAGATTTTTAAAGTTATTGCCTTGCCTTAGTTATTCATTCTTTAAAATTTTCAATGTAATTTTATAACTGCCTGATAATAAACTGCAAACAGAATCTTCTGAATTTCCTCATCAGAAAAAAGCCACAAACTTAGGAAAGAAGCATTTGCTTATTTCTGTAACCTTTACAAGATATTTATGCCCAGCCAGGGTGGCTCAGTGGTTGAGCCTTGACCTATGAACCAGTAGGGCACAGTTTAATCCCTGGTCAGGGCATATGCCCATGTTGTGGGCTTGATCCCCAGTTCAGGGTGTGGAGTAGGCAGCCAATCAATGATTATCTCTCATCATTGATGTTTTTATAACTCTCTCCCTCTCCCTTCCTCTCTTATATTTAAAAGATATAACTTAATCATAACTTGTATTTTATGCATGGGTTTTAATTTGTAAATATGAAATTAAATTTGCCCCACCCCTACCCCAAAAGGTGGTGGGATTGGACTCTTTCTTAATAGTTCAGTGAAATATTTTCTAAAACCATAAACTCTTACATATATCTTGTAACCAAAATGTTAAGTAATTTCATAGAAAATGTCTTCATTTTTTTTCTTGCTCATAACTGTCATGTGGTAACTTAATTCTTAGAAGACTAAACAGAATTTCCCTAAAATTATAAGAAATATAATTTGCTTTTTGTACTACGTGATTGTAAGAAGTACAAACAATAAATTCTTTTTAGTTTTGTGGTTTTCAAAGGAAATAATGTTGGGTTTTTGCATCTTGTCTTTGAATTGATGCCTCAGTGTCTTCAGAATCATGTCTAAACTCTTTGGTCCAGCACTTTGCCATCTTCATACATCATCTCTTGCCATTGTTGTCACAAACTATATCCTCCAGCCAAAGATTGCTACTTTATTTATTATATTCAGATCTTTCTTCACAGTGTGCACTTGGGTGCTCACCCTTATCCCATCACGCCCACATGTAAAAAATAAATATATTTTAAGGTCTGTCACATCTGCCTCTCCTTCACAAACCATTCTTTTATATTTTCTCCTCCCAAAATCTGAAAGTAAATCTGTCTACCTCAAGGACTTCAGACTAATTTTAAGCACTGCTTTTATAAAACACATTAATTTTCACCTTATATTATAGTTGTTTAAATTCAAGTCTACTCTAAGGTCTATGAAGTTTTAAATGGTTATTTACTATGAATGAATGTCCTACAGAACAACTTTGAATTCAATGTGCCTTTTGAGTGTGTGTGATCAAACTATTTTCAGTCACCCCCACTTTTATAAGAATTGCTATTTTATATAAAGAATAAAGTATATGTACACAAATATATGAGCCAGCTGCCATTGCCCAGTTCCTTATAATTTCCTTTACACCTTTGAGCAATTTAAAGGAATGTTTATATTCTTTGTCTGCTAGTTCCAAATCTAGGTCATTTCAAAGTTGGTCTTCATTGATTGCCTTTTCTCAAGTATGGGTCATAATTCCTGTTTCTTCATGTCTAATAAATTTGGATTATGTTCTGAAAATCATAAACAATATGTGTGGAGACTCTGTATTTTGTTATGTTCCACTGAGTAATACTAATATTTTGTTTCATGGGTGAATTCAAACTCCAAATTCTGCAATATTAGTTTAGTTATGTTAACTTTGTGCTGATTAGAATATACCCAGATATCCATCACTCAGGGGTCAGCTAAAGACTTGAGCAGAGTTTATTCACAAGATACAGGGTTCCCTTTCTATAGCTCTTCTATTCTCTAGCTGCTGAGTTCACCCTTAACTTATCTTTTGTTTTCTCTTGCTAGATAGACTGCAATTTTCTTTCTGGATTTCAGCATAGTTAATCCCTCACTACTTTCTACCACCTCTCCTCTGTAAAGTGTCATCAAGGTGTTATATATTCAGTCAGCTAATTAGGAATTAGAGCTATTGACTATAAGTATTAAATGCTAGGATATAAAACATTTACAAATGTACAGTTATATAAAAATAAATATATTTTTTCTTGTCTCTCTCCACCAATGAAAGAGATTCTTCTTTATGTCCCTACTAGAAGCCCGGTGCACAAAATTCATACACGAGTAGGGTCTGTAGGCCTGGCCAGCAATCAGAGCCGATTGGGGCCTTCTGGCTGCCAGCTGGGGCCTTCCTTCCAGCTGCCAGCCAGGGCTTCCCTTCTCCAGCTGCTGGCCAGGGCTGCCTTCATTCCACAATACCCCCTGGTGGTCAGCACATGTCATAGAGAGCAATAGAACTCCCAGTCTCCTGCACTTTGCACATTAGCCTTTTATATCCTATATAATAAAGAGGCAATATGCAAATTGACCATCATGGCCTTGCACAAGATGGCTGCCCTGATGTGGTCACAAGATGGCCATGTCATCACAAGATGGCCGACCCCATGTCATCACAAAATGGCCACCACAATATGGCCAGCAGGGGAGGGCAGTTAGGAGTGACCAGGCTAGCAGGGGGGGGCAGTTGGGGGCAACTGGGCCTACAGGGGAGAGAGGGCAGTTGGGGGGACCAGGCCTGCAAGGGAGGGCAGTTAGGGGCAACAAGGCTGGCAGGGGAGGGCACAGTTAGGAGCCAGCAGTCCCGGATTGTGAGAGGCATGGCCGAAGCAGGGGAGGGCAGTTAGGGGTAACCAGGCCAGCAGGGGAGGGTAGTTGGGGGCAACCAGGCTGGCAGGGAAGGGCAATTGGACCAGCAGGGGAGGGCAGTTGGGGGCAATTGGGCTGGCAAGGGAGCAGTTACGCATCGATCAGGCTGGCAGGGGAGTGATTAGGAGGTGATCAGGCTGGCAGGCAGAAGCAGTTAGGGGCAATCAGGCAGGCAGGCAGGCAGTCAGGCGAGCAGTTGGGATCCAGCGGCCCTGGATTGTGAGAGTGATGTCCAACTGCTGGTTTAGGCCCAATCCCCACAGTCAGACATCCTCCAAGGGGTCCCAGATTGGAGAGGGTACAGGCTGGGCTGAGGGACACCCTCCCCCCAGTGCATGAATTTCGTGCACTGGGCCTCTAGTATATAAATAACAATGTTGAAAAGACCTTAGGTTTCCCAATTGTCCTATCTCTGACTAGATATACATACAAATTAGTGGGGAAATCCCAACTCAGTCTTGAATTCCAGCTAATTCCAGGCTTATCAGTATTGAGTCAGGTGCTTTGATCTCAATTTGTTATGGATTTCTGTGTGAATACTCTATGTGAGAATCTCAGAGGGAAAGAAATAAGGTTGGTCAAGATTCAGGCACCAAATCTCATATTGAGTGGTCACCACAAATGACAATAATCGCAAACACTTA